ATTATGAATGGGGTGTAACCTTCACGGGTCAATCGTTGTTGCCTTTGTTGTCCCTTATTCGTGGTTGCCTTTTTATGATCCGTGAACGGTTTACAAGTTCCTTAAAAACTTGTTGGCGGCTCCCTACTTTCCTTGTCCCTAATCGTATATGTCAGTTCCCACTTCTTATGAGTGCCAAGCATATTCACCACATGCTTTAACGTAGACGCACTTCGAACGACGCCTACAAGTAGCAATGTTACTGAAGTTCCTTTCTCAGGGCCAAGGTTTACTTGGAGCAATAAAAGGGAAGGAAATGATCTAATTTTGGAGAGATTAGATCGTGCTTACATAACAGAGGAATGGTTTCGACACTCCCAGGATGGGGTAGTAGTGCATGAACCCATTATTTGTTTTGATCATGCGGCTATCACCTACAACTCAAAGGGAAATTCTCATAATTCTAATAGACCGTACCAAATTGAAAATTGGTGCCTTCGCTTCACGAAAATTAAGGAAATTGTGGAAAGGGGATGGAAGGTGGAAATTCATGGCTATCCTATGTTCCAAGTAGCAAGGAAACTCTCCGGAGTAAGAACGAAAATGCAATACTAGTGTGTGGAAAACAAAAGGCTCAGGGGAGTTAATTAGAGGAAAGTAACAAAGGATCTACATACCTCAAGAATGAATATCAATTCGGCTAAGGAAGGAGAAGGGTACATTAAACTAATAAATCAGATCACCCGAGGAACCAGCTTAGCTTTGATTTCTGGAAACAACGAATGAAATAAAACTGGATAAAATATGTTGACTGCCCAACTCCTACAATGTACAGGAAAGTAAAACAACGACAGTTACACAATGAGATTGTGACCTTGAGGAATGAGAATGATACTTGGGTTGAAGGGCAAGAGGAGGTGGAAGAGGTGGTCTTGACCTCAATTAAAGGTATTTATAGGCCAGTATCCAAAATCAATCATGGAGAGAACATTGACCTACTTCTCAAGGAATTGGATATTCCTAATCTATCTGGTACTGATTGGGAATGACTTGACAAGCCTTTTACGGACCAAGAAATTAAAAAGGCTATGTTTAGTATCAAAAGCTCAAGGGCCGGATGGGTTCACTGCTGATTTCTTTCATGTCTACTAGAGGGAGGTAGGACAACTAATGGTGGACAGTGTCCATCAATTCTTGAGAACCGGAAACATGCTCAAAGAGTGGAACCAATCCCTACTGGTTCTAATTCTAAAAGTCAAAGTCCTGGAATTTGCTAATCAATTCAGACCGTTTAGCCTCTGTAATACCATCTCTAAGTGTCTTGTCAACAGGCTAAAGGTGGTACTCCCAAAATTGATCATGGAGAATCAGCGTGCTTTTATTCCAGGAAGGTACATGGAAGATAACATTCTCTTGAGCCATGAGCTAATGCATCTTATTAACTCAAAAAAGGGCTTGAATTTTACAGCAGTCAAGATTGATATGTCAAAAGCATATGACAGAGTGGATTGGATGTTCCTACTTAAGGTGATGCAAGCTTATGGTTTCTCAGAGAACTAGATCAGGATGATATCATAGTGTATATCGACAGTTACCTACAAGGCGATCATCAACAGGAAAATCACAAAACACTTTATGCGTGAGTGTGGTCTAAGGCAGGGGGACCCCCTTTCCCCTTACCTCTTTATCGTTTGTATGGACATTCTCTCAAGAATGTTAACTCTGGCAGAGGACATTAACCTTTTCAAAGTTCTAAGGGTCTCTAGGAGATCCCCTTCCATCTACCACCTATTCTTCGCGAACAATGTTATGCTCTTCTTTAAAGCAAATGAGGAGGCTTGCAGGTGCATCAGGGATATTCTTCATAGGTTTAGTACAGCTTCAGGCCAGCAATTGATCTACAAAAGTCCTATGTCAAGTTTTCCCCTAGGGTTGATAATGGCACAAAATTAGATCTGAGAAGGATTCTAGCTATGACTGAAACGGACAACATGGGGATTCATTTGGGAACCCCAATAGACATCCAAGGAAGGAAACGACACTCCTTTCAATATGGTAGATAAGGTTTTTGAAAAAAATTTTATCTTGGGCTTCTCCACGCATGTCATAAGCTGCTAAGCTGGTCCTTATCAACACGGTTTCAGTTAGTATCTTAGCTCATGTTATGAAGTGTCTTAAGCTCCCCCAAAGCATCGCCAACAAACTTGACTCTCTCTAATTACAAGGTTCTGGTGGTCCAACAATGGGAATAAGGGTATGCACTAGGTAAGTAAGATAGTCACCCAACTCCCTAAAAGCATGGGAAGTCTAGGGATCAAAAGGGCCTCAACTCTTAATGATGCCCTCTTGTTCAAACAAGCAACAAGGATGCACTTAAATCCGCAGGTGCTGCTATCCAAGGTGCACAAAGGGATGCAATCTTGTGGGATTTGTTCGATGGCTATACCTTATGTCCGGAGAGGGAACCCTTCAATGGGGAGATCAAGTCTATAAAAGGTCATAGATGCTTTCAAAAAAGGGTTTTCCTAGAAAACAGGTAATGGGAACAATATTAAGGCCATAAGTATGCCATGGGTCAATAGAGAGGCACCGATAGTTAACTCCAGGAAAAGAAAACTCTAGGGGTTGCAGTGAATTGGAAGGTGTAGACACCTAAAAATGTCTTCCCAAAACCAAACCCGATGATAAATAACCTTTCACCGCCACTATTGGTCGGGTTCAGTATTTAATCCCGAGAGTGGTTAAAATATCGTATTTAGTTAAATTCAATTTTGGAATAGTCCATGGATCAGTCTTAATGTTTGGTCAAAACATAGTTTTAATTTCAGCCCAAACTTATTATTTATTTTAGCCCAAACCCTTTTTTTATTGTTTTATTATTTTGGCCCGAACTTTTTATTTATTTTATTTATTTTAGCCCAAATAATAATAAAATCAGAAAATAGCCCGAAATTATCAATCGACACTTAAAAAGTTGAACGAAATTAGGGTTAAAAATGAATTTAGACGAAAAGGCGGATTGAAAATTCCCGCATCACGACAACAGTCCACCGTGTCACGGAAAACTTTCCCGTCTGACGGTGGGGTTCCTCGTGACACGGGACACCTGCTGTGACACGGGGGTTTCCGTGTCCTTTCCGCGTAAACCCTTAACGCGTTTTCTCTCCCGTTCAGCAAATATTTCCCGCGTCACACAAAAGTGCACCGTGTCACGGGAATGTTTCCCGTCTGACGGTGGGATTTCCCGTGTCACGGTACACTTTGCCGTGTCGCGGGATACTTTTTTGGGATTTTTATCATTTTAGGGTTTCGTGTGTTCCCTCAGCACATTTTCTATATAAATACCCCCTCATTTCTGATGTACGGGGCATCAATTAATTCTCTATTTTTCTCTCTTCTATGCTTTAGCCTAAACACTAGCCTACCCTTTTTTCAAAATTCCTTCTTCAAGCACTCCAAGGAGTCCACACTTTACTCGTGGTTCTATCCTTAAGCCAAGGCGTGAAAGGTAGAACTATTTGAGGGTTTGGCCCTAAATCAACTCTACTTAATTAAATTTGACTTAATTATTATTTAATTATTATTTCCTTGAAGTTACTAACTCGTTTATTATTTTATAGTTGCAAACAAACAGAATCAAAGTAAGAATTATGTTCCTTTTATTTCTATTATTTTTTCTAACGATTTTGTATTGTTAGAATTATTGTTAAATTGCTTCCAATATTGATGTTATTCTATTATGTTTATTGATCACCATATTGCATGTTAAAAGGAATATGTAATTGAAAATCACGCCTAATAAGATAATTTGGACAACCGGTTTAGGATCCTTTTTAATCTTGTTTAATCAAGTGATCACAAATAATTTAGAATTATATGTTGCATTAATATTAAACCAATTTAGCTTCATAATAGTTTGGAGCGAATTGAATATCTGTTTGTATGCCTTTGAGATCGCAGGAATCACTTTTCACTATAAGAATCGAGTAGAGGCCAATACGAGTAAATGTAACTCCATGACTCACTTCGTACCATCATCCCCGATCCTCCTTTCGTGGTTCCGAACCATATGGAGTTAGTAATCTCATGGATTATGAATGGGGTGTAACCTTCACGGGTCAGTCGTTGTTGCCTTCGTTGTCCCTTATTCATGGTTGCCTTTTATGATCCGTGAACGGTTTACAAGTTCATTAAAAACTTGTTGGCGGCTCCCTAATTTCCTTGTCCCTAATCGTTATGTCAATTCTCACTTCCTATGAGTGCCAAACATATTCACCACATGCTTTAATCTTCTGACTTCTTAGCAGACTTTCCGCTAGAAGAAGTTGAGAAAGAAGAAGATGAGTACGATTTCCCGGACGAAGATTTACTCATGACCGAAGATGATAGCTGGACTCTCTATTTCATAATGGAGTTAACAAACAGATACAAGTTCTAGTAGTAAATGACAAATAATAGGGTATCGTATCGACAGGGAACGTTGAATAATACTATGGTCTATAGTCTACTACAACTAATATATAAGTAAAGCCAAAAGAAGATGGAACCCATAAAATCGACACCCCACACATCAAAAATTTCAATAATTAAAATAGGGGTGAGGGGCATCATGTTATGACGCGATATAGCTCCTGTTTTCTGACATATATCACAAGCAAGACAAAATCGATGTGCATCTTTAAATAAGGTGGGCCAATAGAAACCACTTTGAAGAATTTTAGCAGCAGTTCTACGACCCCCAAAATGCCCACCACATGCATATGAATGACAAAAAGTTAAGATAGCATGATATTCACTTTCTGGTACACACCTACGAATCACTTGATCAAAACAATACTTAAACAAATAGGGATCTTCCTAAAAATAATACTTAACGTCAGAAAAGAACCTGTCCTTTTCTTGTTTTGTCCATTGGGATGGTATCTTACTAGACGCAAGGTAGTTGACAATATGTACGAACCATGGAAGGCGCGTCTGTGAAACAGCGAACAATTGTTCATCTGGAAAACTATCCTGCAAGGAATGGTCAATATTCTGCTCAAGAATTATCCTAGATAAGTGATTGGCCACTGAATTTTCAAACCCTTTTTTATCTCTAATTTTAAGATTAAATTCCTGAATTAATAAAATCCACCTAATTAGTCTCGGTTTTGACAACGTCTTAGACAACAAGTACCTTAAAGCTGCATGATCAGAATATATTATAACCTTTGAACATAAAAGATAGGAGCGAAATTTGTCCAAGGCAAACACAATAGCAAGCATCTCTTTTTCGGTAGTAGTATAATTTTTCTGTGCATCAGTTAGAGTTCGACTAGCATAATAGATTACATGAGGAACCTTATTCACTTTTTGGCCAAGGACTGCACCAATAGCATAGTCAGATGCGTCACACATGATTTCAAAAGGCAAAGAGAAATCAGGAGGTTGTACTATAGGTGCTGAAACAAGCAAGGATTTTATTTTCTCAAAAGACTCAACACAAGTTTCATCAAAAGCAAAAGTAGCATCCTTAGCAAGGAGATTAGTAAAAGGTCTAGCAAGCTTACTGAAATCTTTAATGAATCTCCTATAAAAACCAGCGTGCCCTAGAAACGATCTAACATGCTTGACAGAAGTAGGAATTGGAAGATTAGCAATAAGATCAATTTTGGCTTTATCTACCTCAATACCTTCTTTTGAAATTTTGTGACCTGGCCTAAAACAATGCCTTCATCAACCATGAAATGACTCTTTTCCTAACTTAGAATTAGATTTACCTCTTCACACCTTTTTAAAACAGCAGTCAAGTTATTCAAACAATCATCAAATGAAGGTCCAAACACAGAAAAATCATCCATAAATACCTCTAAAAACTTATCAATCATATCACAGAAAATAGATATCATACATCGTTGAAATGTCGACGGTGCATTACATAAACCAAAAGGCATACGTCTAAAAGCAAAAGTACCCGCAGGACATGTAAATGTGGTTTTCTCCGGATCTTCAGGATAAATAGCCATCAAGAATATCCATCAAGAAAGCAATAATAACTTTGACCAGCTAGTTTTCCTAAGATTTGATCAATAAAAGGTAAAGGGAAATGGTCTTTCCTAGTTACAGCATTTAATTTGCAGTAATCAATGCAAACTCTCCAACCTGTAGTTTGTCTAGTAGGAACAAGCTCACCTTGACTATTTTCCACAACTGTGATTCCTGATTTTTTTGGCACAACTTATACAGGACTGACCCATTGGCTATCAGAAATTGGGTATATGATACCTGCATCTAACAATTTAACTACTTTCATGAAAACTTCTTTCATATGTGGGTTCAGCCTACGTTGCATTTCCCTAGTAGGTTTAGCATTTTCTTCTAAAAATATTCTGTGCATACAAATAGATGGGCTAATCCCTTTCAAATCAGCTACTGACCACCCTATAGCTTTCTTATGATCAGATAAAACTTTGATAAGTTTTAACTCCTGTTCATTAGACAATTGAGAAGAAATAATAACAGGTAAAGTTTCATTGGGTCCTAAAAATGCATACTTGAGTGTAGATGGAAGGGCTTTTAGCTCAAGTTGAGGTGGGGAAATAAGGGATGGTACAGGTGGAGACTCGGAAAGAGGTGGTAAAGGTTCATGTTTAGCCACCCAAGAAGAAGTTTCGAGTAAAGGCGCTTCATCAATTATGGAAATTGACTCTTCTAACACATCCCCTAGGTCCATATGTTTTAAGTTCTCATGTGAAATACTAGTCTCTAAAGCATCCTTAGAAATGAGTGCAGGTAAAGATTCTTCAACTAGTTCATCAATTAATTCAACAAGGAAACATTCAGATTCATTTTCTATAGTGGGGTGGGTGGATGCTTTAAAAATATTAAGCTTAATTCTCATATTCAAAACAGAAACATCCATCTCTCCTGACCTACAATTAATAGTAGCATTAGCAGTTGCTAAGAAAGGACGCCCTAAGATGACTGGAATATTCTTGGACGGATTACCAGGTTCCATATCTAGTACTACAAAATCCACAGGAAAGAAACCTTTATCAATTTTAATTAGAACATCATCAATCCTACCTCTAGGAACTCTAACAGACCTATCAGCTAACTGTAGAGTGCAATTAGAAGGTTGTAACTCACCTAAGCCTAATTGCTCATACACCGAATAAGGAATCAAATTAACACTTGAACCTAAATCTAAGAGAGCTTTTTCAACTTTACAATCACCAATATGACAAGAAATAGTCGGAACTCCAGGATCTTTAAATTTAGGTGTCTTGTCAAATTGCAAAATAGAACTTACCTGTTCACTTAAGACAACTTTCTTAGAACAGTGGGCTTTTGATTTCCTTTTATACGTGCACATGTCTTTAAGAAATTTAGCATAGGCAGGGATTTGTTTAATAGCATCCAGAAGAGGTAAATTAATTTGAACCTGTTTAAAGATCTCTAAAATGTCTTCTTTCTGCTTATTCTTTCCATAAAGTGAAGGTGCATCTAAAGCTTGAAGATAAGGAATCCTAGGCTCATATGGAATTGTAATCACAGATTCATCATTTTTAGGGGAAGGGGATTTTTCTTTATTTTTGGCAATTTCAGACTCTGCATTAATTGATTCACCATTGTCATTATCGCCTTTCTTGTTAGAAATTTTGTTAAATAACTCTTTTCCATTCCTTAGAGTCATTATCGCTTGAGTTTGTTCATGATTTAAGCCTTTAGGATTTGCAATAGAAGTACTAGGCAATTTTCCATCATCTCTTTTACCAATTGCATTAGCTAACTGACCAATTTGAGTTTCCAATTTAGCTATGGATTGTGTGTGAGAATCAACAACATGCATCTTATTTTCAATATTCTGAACAGAAGTAGTGACTGCCCCTAGAGAAGAAATAATTTTTTCTAGGTCAGGATTACTACTAGCAGGTTGTGAAGGTTGAGAAGCATACGTTTGAGCTTGAAAACCAGAAGAATTATTCATACCAGATTGACCTATGTGGGTGAGTCTTTGTCCTTGTTGTGCTTCTCCACTTTGTTGTTTCCACGAAAAATTAGGATGATTCCTCCACCCCGGATTATATGTGTTCGAATATGGGTTGTTGTGTGGAGGATACCCTTGAGCTGCATTTACATGTTCCTGTGACACTTCAGAATAGTTATTAGGACAATTATAGGATAAGTGATTAAAATCACCACATGTCGCACACCCTTCATTAGCATTGATGGAATTAACATGCAAATTATTTGTATTCACAAGTTGATCAATCTTTTTGTTCAAAATATCCACTTGGTCCATTTTCTTAGTCAAAGCATCTACTTTATATGCAAGATCATGAGTATGAGATACTTCATAAATACCCCCTTTACCCCCTAGAGTTCTCGATGCATTAGATGCGTTAGTATGAGAGGAAGTAGCATGCTGTTGTGAATTTTCACTTAAATCTTCAAATAATTGCCATGCTTCATCAGAATTTTTCTGCATAAAATTTCCCCCACAAGAAGCATCTACCATTTGTTGATTATGTTCACTTAATCCATAATAAAAACTATGTATTAGTTGCCATTTAGGAACTTCATGATGTGGACATTCACGTAACAAACTACAAAAACGTTCCCATGCTTCATAAAACAATTCATTAGGCTTTTGAGAAAAAGTAGTTATAGCACGTCTCATATCACTCAATTTACCTATTGAATAAAATTTCTTGAGAAAATCCTTTTGCAATTGAGCCCAAGTTGTAACATTTCTGTTATTTAGCCATTCTTTAGCCTTTTCTTTCAAGGAAAAATTAAATAAACGCATACGAATAGCATCAGCAGCAGCATCAGATATACTAAAAGTAGAGCAAACCTCTAAAAATGCATCAATATGCTTGTAAGGATTTTCATATTCAAGACCATAAAACGTAGGAAGCATTTGAATAATTTGAGGTTTAATTTCAAAATTACCTTCAACATTAGGCATCCTATTACCAACAGGTGAATTGTAAGTTCCAGGGGTGAAAAATTCACTAAGCTTAATTTCATTTGCCATGATTATTTCTTTATTACAACCAAGATCAATAGAATTACTTTTATTCAAAGCTCTCAACTTTCTAAGTGTGCGATCAATTTCAGAATCGTATGGACTTAAATCACAGGGCAAAAATCTACGCCCAAACATAAACTAAACACAAAATAAGAGATTGGGTGGAAAGCACCTAGCAAATCAAATTCCAGTAAACTCTTCGCAAAGCAAACCAGGAGCTATCACCAGAGAACTGACTGAAATCAACTAGAATTAGTGGTGAGAGAGCACCAGGCAGGTTCACTCGGCTCTTCTCCAGGCTATGTGGCTGACCCAAAGTGTTGGCCGAAATACGTAATCTGGACACAGCAAACCAGAAATCAGAACACTTTAAAACTTACTATGACATAAAATAAAACTCCCGATGGATAAAGACAACTAAACACAAAAACAAAGAAAATAGGAACAGGAATAGAATAAACCTAAGAGTTAAACTATGGCAGACAAATAGACTAATTTATTCTACTACCGTTCCCCAGCAACGGCGCCAAAAACTTGATAGCGATTTTAAACAAGTTATAAAACCCTATTCTTGCAAGTGTACAAGTTCTAGTAGTAAATGATAAATAATAGGGTATCGTATCCACAGGGAACGTTGAATAATACTATGGTCTATAGTCTACTAATTTCATATTAAAGAGAAATATATTGAGTGGTTTTGATAAACTGAAAACATAAATTAAATAAGACAATAAGATTGATGGAAGTAATAAAATAACAGAGAACAATAAAATCAGAGAGCAAACAAATAAGAGGGACTCTAGGACGATCGAATCCACCTCTATTAATATGACTAACAATTTAACTAGAGAGACTTTTAATTGGTTATATTGAGCACCCTAAACTACAAGCCGTGATAAACTCATAAATAAAGATAATTGCGATTAAATAGGTGACGTAATTTATCTAGAAAAAGCATAAACTATTCAATTACTCAATCACAAACACGAAACACCATTGCATAACATCACACTCTGGACTACAAGAACAAAGTATGTAAATTAGATAACCAATCAAGTTAAAAGATAGTTCTACAAGAATTATAATTAACGTCAATTGGAAAACAATAATCACCCAAATTATCTTATAAAGTCATGCAATCATAAAACCAATAATACTTCTCAAATAATTAAATTATCAAATCATAATAATAGGATTTCATCTAAGCCCTAGAATAGAGAGATTAGCTACTCATAATTGAAGAGAACATCACCCAATTATGATAAACCATAGATGATATCAACGATTTGGACACCGAACCGCTGTCGTACTTCGTAGTTGGTTCTTCGCTGTCCTCCTCCGTCTTGTGCGTGTGTGTGTGTGTGTTTTTCTTCCTCCCCGCCTTGCTGCATCTCTGTGTGATTTATACCGTAGTAGTTGTGTGCTGTGAGGGTTTCATCGTGGTTTTTTTTTTGCCTCTCGCTGCCGCTGCTACTGTCTTTTAGGAGTCTTGAGTTAGTGGGTTGCAAAACATTAAAACCCACTAACTTTTCTTAATATGTTGCACGTGAGTTGTGAGAATATGGGCTTTCTTTGCTCTTTTTTTTCTTTAAATCCAACTTGCAATAAACCTTAATGCTTCTCAAGCACGTGGCTCCCATCCTAGTTAATGTAACATTCTTCCATCATTTTGTTAACCTGTCACATTACATAACAATAATCAACCAAACTCACATATTAACTATTAAATGGCCCATAATTCATAAAATAACAATTTTCGATAAAATATTAGAAATGTGAATATTATTATCCACTAATATCATAATGGAGTTAACAAATAGATACAAGTTATATATCATAATGGGGTATCGATTTTATGGGTCCCTTTCCATCTTCTTTTGGCTTTACTTATATATTAGTTGTAGTAGACTATAGACCATAGTATTATTCAACGTTCCCTGTGGATACGATACCCTATTATTTCTTTCTTTATCATTCATCTCCATTCCCCCATCCATGTCTAGCATAGGTTTTCCATTTTGAATTTTTATATGTTTCATGTGTTTCGTTCACCTTTTCCATTAATAAAACAAGCAAATTTCCTTTACATCTCGATCATAGAATTTTTCATTCATTCATTCATTCTCAAAAAAATTAAAAAAAAAAAAATCAATTGTCGAACTAAACACAAGGCCAGGTACACTAATGATTTGAGGCGCCTTTGCAACCCTGTCATTCCCTGTTACCCGTTCAATCACATTTCATTTCTTCATCAACCTTTGAGCCTCGTCTAACGTTTGGCCTTCGTTTCTTCAACCCACATTCACTTAACCCTGGGATTGGTAGATGTGTAATTGTATAACATTCAAAAAGCAAGTAAAAAAAAAGCAGCAAAGCAACAATAAAACAATGTCTAAAGGCAAGTGTTCCAATGTCTTTGATATGAACATGTCTCAAATTGCGTCTCTCATCGAGTGCTTGGTACCGTGCCTGAGAAACATGAATGCTAAGTGAGTGATGGACCGCATGATCTGAGATTGCCTACATTGATTCAAAAGAAAAAAAAAAAAAAAAATGTTGAAAATAAACTTGCAAAATTCAAAATTTTCAAATTCAAAATTACACATCTTGGAGATTCTCTCGGGTCTTGAGCCTTTTATCCCTTTCTTCCTTAAACCATCAACTTAACCACATTACAACCCATGAAAGAACTCTTTGAGGTATACATACACTTGTGCAAAGTTCGGTTAGAGCTACGTTCGGCCTGATTCCTAACGAATACGTAGGTAACCTCACATTGAGGTGCGGCCACATTCATATTCATATCTATGCATGATCGAGTCAAAGAATATCCAATGCTTATCTCTATATCCCTACCCATTTAGAGCTAGACTTGGGGGCTTGAACCCAAATCACGTTAGCTTACCCAGCCTAGAGAGTCATCATCTTTGACTTTTCACGAATATATTTCCATCATCATAACCTTTGCAGCCTCACCTTAGTATCACTTTCACACACTTTACTCACACATCCATATCCATATCATCCTTCCCTTTAGGAACCCTTTATCATGAAATCTTGTTTCCCTACCGCGCATGCTTCATCATCTTTCAAGATAACATTCATTAGAAGAAACGTTGTATACTTGCTTAGCTTCGTGCCTGAGCAATGTTCATTGTTTCATGCATCGCATAATGTGCTGAGTAACATTTCTATATCAATGGTTTGTAATAATACAAAGCATATCGTTCTTAGCTCCTTGACCTAAGCAACATTCATTATGCAATAATCACTTCATCTATATACCATATATGATGCTTAGCTCCATGACTTAAGTTCATTCATCTATCGTGTCACATGGTGTAATTGTCCTTAGCCTCCTGGCCTAAGAACATGCATCATGCATACATTATTTTCAGGACAAGCAATTCAGTTCATACGATTCATTTCGTCTTGCTCAAGAGGGAAGTTCAAAACTTCTTCCCTTTTTCATTATTTTATTTTGGGGAAGTTCAAAAACTTTTTCAAAATTTTTATCGAGGAAAGTTCAAAAATAAAACTTCATTTTTCACGTCTTTCTTTTTGGGGAGAAAGTCAATACCTTCCACTCGTCTCATGACAAAAATGATGGAAAATTTTTGCTTTTGCATTTTTGGTTGCTTGTGTCTGCACACACACACTCAAACTATACATACACAATCACAAGTCATACTCATGTCATGTCACGTCGTGTCAAGTCAAACTTGGTCAAGTCAGTTGGTCAAGTCAATCATAGTCTATGCGAGTCCCTTGGCAAATTTTATTTTGCAGGTTTCAATTACAGCCCACGTCCGGGGACAAGCGGACCATCTACAGCCCACGTCCGGGGACTAGCGGACCATCTACAGCCCACGTCCGGGGACAAGCGGACCATCTACAGCCCACGTTCGGGGACAAGCGAACCAACTACAGCCCACGTTCGAGGATAATCGAACCACCATCATTTCATGATGCAAGGTTCTCGATACACATAATCTCATCATCTGTCGACTTTCCTCAAGCATGGAAAGTATTATTCGGTGGATTTCTTCAAGCATAGAAAACCGCCAAATTCCTTTGTCGGCTTTCCTCAAGCATGGAAAGCATTATCGGTGGATTTCTTCAAGCATAGAAAAACACCAAAATCATATGTCGACTTTCCTCAAGCATGGAAAGTGTCATCCGGTAGGTTTCTTCAGGCTTAGAAAGCTACCAAACTCATCTGTCGGCTTTCCTAAAGCATGGAAAGCATTTCAACATACGTCATCCGGTGGATTCCTTCAAGCATAGGAAGCTACCAAACTCATTTGTCACCGATACACTGGTGTTTGATACGCATTCTATCCCTTTTCTCTTTTATCTGTAGAACTAACACTTTTCTGTAGGTATCGGCGTATAAAGAGTGATTTAGGATCGAAGAACGTCTTAAATCATTCTCCGTCCCTATCGACTACTTTTACTATCGTTTTCGAAACTGACGTTTTTACAAACTCAGTCAAAGTGGGGGCTTCTGTAGACACCTAAAAATGTCTCCCCAAAACCAAACCCGATGATGAATAACCTTTCACCGCCACTATTGGTCGGGTTCAGTATTTAATCCCGAGAGTGCTTAAAATATCGTATTTAATTAAATTCAATTTTGTAATAGTCCATGGATCAGGCTTGATGTTTGGTCAAAGCATAGTTTTAATTTCAGCCCAAACTTATTCTTTAATTTTAGCCCAAACCTTTTTTTAATTGTTTTATTATATTGGACCAAACTTTTTATTTATTTTATTTATTTTAGCCCAAATAATAATAAAATCATAAAATAGCCCGAAATTATCAATCGGCACTTAAAATGTTGAACGAAATTAGGGTTAAAAATGAATTAAGACGGAAAAGCGGATTGAAAATTCCCGCGTCACGGCAACAGTCTACACACGGGACACCTGCTGTGACACGGGGGTTTCCGTGTCCTTTCCGCGTAAACCCTTAACGCGTTTTCTCTCCCGTTCAGCAAATATTTCCCGCGTCACACAAAAGTGCACCGTGTTACGGGAATGTTTCCCGTCTGACGGTGGGATTTCCCGTGTCACGGTACACTTTGCCGTGTCGCGGGATACTTTTTTGGGATTTTTATCATTTTAGGGTTTCGTGTGTTCCCTCAGCACATTTTCTATATAAATACCCCCTCATTTCTGATGTACGGGGCATCAATTAATTCTCTATTTTTCTCTCTTCTATGCTTTAGCCTAAACACTAGCCTACCCTTCTTCTTTCAAAATTCCTTCTTCAAGCACTCCAAGGAGTCCACACTTTACTCGTGGTTCTATCCTTAAGCCAAGGCGTGAAAGGTAGAACTATTTGAGGGTTTGGCCCCAAATCAACTCTACTTAATTAAATTTGACTTAATTATTATTTAATTATTATTTCCTTGAAGTTATTAACTCGTTTATTATTTTATAGTTGCAAACAAACAGAATCAAAGTAAGAATTATGTTCCTTTTATTTCTATTATTTTTTCTAACGATTTTGTATTGTTAGAATTATTGTTAAATTGCTTCCAATATTGATGTTATTCTATTATGTTTATTGATCACCATATTGCATGTTAAAAGGAATATGTAATTGAAAATCACGCCTAATAAGATAATTTGGACAACCGGTTTAGGATCCTTTTTAATCTTGTTTAATCAAGTGATCACAAATAATTTAGAATTATATGTTGCATTAATATTAAACCAATTTAGCTTCATAATAGTTTGGAGCGAATTGAATATCTGTTTGTATGCCTTTGAGATCGCAGGAATCACTTTTCACTATAAGAATCGAGTAGAAGCCAATACGAGTAAATGTGACTCCATGACTCACTTCGTACCATCATCCCCGATCCTCCTTTCGTGGTTCCGAACCATATGGAGTTAGTAATCTCATGGATTATGAATGGGGTGTAACCTTCACGGGTCAGTCGTTGTTGCCTTCGTTGTCCCTTATTCATGGTTGCCTTTTATGATCCGTGAACGGTTTACAAGTTCATTAAAAACTTGTTGGCGGCTCCCTAATTTCCTTGTCCCTAATCGTTATGTCAATTCTCACTTCCTATGAGTGCCAAACATATTCACCACATGCTTTAACGTAGGCGCACTTCGAGCGACGCCTACAGAAGGTAAGTGATTTTATTGATAGGGAAACAACTTCATGGAAGGTAGGAAAGGTAAGAGAATGCTTTGATTGGGAAAGCGCAAGGTCCATCTTATCAATGGAACTTCCCTCTCCAGTAAGGATGATTTCATCTACTGGAAGTTTCACCCCTCGGGAAGATATACTATAAAAACGGGCTACTATTTCCTCATGCAAAAAGATGATTCAATGGGGGCTACTATTTCCTCATGTAAGAAGTTGATTCAAATGGAGGAGTACTTGACAACGATAGGGACAAAAATTTTGTAAAGCTTATGTGGAGGATGAACATCCAACCAAAATGGAAGATATTTTTGTGGAAGCTTTACCATAATGGAATTGCAATCAAGGTAAATTTAGCCAATAGGGGTATCCAAATATATAGATGATTCTTGTGGCTATTGTGGGGTGGAGGCAGAAGAAAGCCAACACTTATTCAGGTTTTGTATTCTAGCAAAAGAGGTCTGGGGAAATAGTTCTCTGGCAATTTGCTGCTCTGACTCTGATGGGTTCGATTCTTTGAGGGAATGGATCCAATCTTTTATCCTGCTATTCAATAGCGAGGATGGTAAGAATAGTACTAGTATGGCTTTGTTTATTGCAACCTTATGGGGACTTTGGAAAACGAGGAATGCGAGGAGTTTCAATGGAACAAATGGAGGAGCAAGCTTGGTTACGGAATTCATTAACCAAGCAATGCATGATCACGAGACCTTCATTTATAGAGAAAATCAGCATTATAATAATGCAGATGAGGAAAGGGAAGGCCCTTCCCTTCCACCTGGGTTTAATCATGCCAACTAGGACAAGAAAAAGATGGTTTTGACACCTTCTTGGTAGGAGTGGAGGGATCTTGGGATAAAAGGACCAAGAGGGCTAGGATTGGATGGTCAGTAATGGGAGTAATGGGAAATGGTGTTGAAGGAACCACATATGAAGGAGGAAGGCATGGGGCTTCAAATTCAACACTACAGTGTGAAGCTTGGGCATGTTTGGAAGCTATGAAATGGGCTAGTGCCAAGGGAAAACAGGGACTCCTTGTCCTCTTGGATTTTACATCCCTCATTAACAACCTTCAAGACCGCATAGGTAAGGATATTGAGATTTCGTGGACGGTAAATGAGATAAAAGAGGTGGGTGCTTCTTTCAAAAGATGCACCATCCTAAAGGTTACGAGAGACTAGGTCAAACAGGCACACGATATTGCTAGAAACTGTCGTCTCAATATGCTTAATTTTCTTTAGTTTGTTTGTTCCTTTGCTCTTGTCAAAAAAAAAAAAAAAAAACAAAAACAAAAACAAAAAAAACTTATCTTTTTCTCTTTTTCCAACTTTTGAAAACAACATAGTAAAAGCATATTCATATAAGAAGGCAACTTGTAACATTTCATAACATGAATTCCACCTAATCTTACAATCCAAAATCAATTTCTTAGTTATAGGAATTTTCACATAATTACAATCATCTTCAAACTTTTCATATCTCTTTAGTGTAGAAGTACAAAAGGCAACAACACCACGAACTTTCTCAATTGCATCACCAATAATATTCAATCCATCATTGACAACTAGTTTTAATATATGTGCACAACATCTTATATGCATATAAGTACCACCCAAAATAAGCTTACTAGGAGCAAGTTTTTCACGCAACACATCCATAACCGCATCATTGGTTGTACAATTATCAACGGTAATAGTTGAAACTTTTTCATCCAAATTAAAACTCTTCAAACATGCAACCAATGTCTTACTAATTGTATATTTGTTGTGTGGGCATGGAAAATACACGAACCTAATAATAATTAATAATTATATGTAATTAGTAATCTAAACTATTATGTAACTACCTTCTCACATGAATAAAAAGATGATAAAATAAAATAACATAATCCAAAATTAATTATGTGATAAATTAGTATAATTACCTTATCAGACGATTTTGCAAGATCCATTCATCATCAATAAAATGTGTCGTCACGGCCATATAGCCTTTTCTTTGATTGTTACAAGTCCACATATCCGTGGTGATGGTGACTTTACTTTCATCTGCTCCCAACAACTTCATCAATTGAGATTTCTCTTCCTTGTAATCCTTTAGAATGTCGGATTTCACGGTATTCCTTGAAATGATGTCAAATTCGAGGTTCAAACTATGTGAATATCTTCTAAAACCATTATGCTCAACAATGGAAAGTGGATACTCATGCATAAGAATCATGTTCACCAACTCATTTCTTGAAACTTGTTGGTTGAATTTGAATTTTCCAATTGTCATTGTAGTACTTCTACTCTTACTTGCACTAGCTAGCAACAATTGTTGTCTCACATCAATTGTTTTCTTGACTTTCATACATCTTTTTGTATGTTCTCTCAAGTGTGTAGTGCCACTTGAGCTCTTACCCACAACTTTTACAAAAGGCTCTCCATATCCATCCACCAATTTCCTATCATTAAATTTCCACACCGCCGAAGTTAACTTTCTTCCACTACCACCCGTTACCACCCCCATCATCTTCATTTTCATCATCATTGTCATTTACAACTACATGTGATGTATTTAAATCATTCAATTGTTTCTTAGTAGTCTTTGTATGAGTTGGTTGGCCATTAACCTCTTCACAATCATCTAGACTAGAAGATGCCTCATCGGTTTCCATATCTATACAATTGTAATATTAAAAATAAATCATTCTTTCATAAAATTACACTTACCAAAATGTATGCATAAAAATAATATATGAGAGAGGAGTATATAGATACTACCTTTTGATTGTTTTGTAGGAGGAGCCATTTATGTTGAAAATTCACTGTGGTTTAAGCCTAAATAACAATAATAATTAATCTTAGTCAAAAATCTCAAAATAATCGAATTTATGGAAAAATAAGCTAATGTCAAAAATCAACGTACTTACAACATGAGAAAAATAAAAAATTATCATACTAAAACATAAAAAAATCAGAGAATAATAAAAACAACTAAGAAATTAAAAACAAAACATACACGGTAGAAAAAAACAAAAGCAAAAAAAATCGCCTAAAAAGCAGACTAGTAGATTTAATCAAACTAAAAATAAAAAAAAAAATAAAAAAAAATAAAAACAAGAAAAATCAACTAAAAAATCAAACTAAAAAGCAAAAAATAAAAAATAAAAAATAATAAAATAATAAAAAAATCAAACTAAATTAAAACCTTAGCACACTAATTATAGTTTAAAGTAGCAACTACTCAACTAGGAAACTAATGAGTACTGACATTGCTAACTAGCAAAAAAACAAAAACAAAAAAAAAAACGAAAATCATACGAAGGAAATCGAATTCGTCAAGAAAAATCACAAAGTGACAAAGAATACCTGCGTTAGAGAGGTGGTCGAACAGGCTGAAATTGGACACTGGAGATCTGAACGCCGGGGTGGAGTGGTGGTCGGCGCTGGTGCGTGAATAGCTAGTGTGGTTTATTTTTCTTTGAATATGAAAGAAAATGGTGGCTGTGCATAGAGTGAAGGTGAATAGTTAGGGACCTAGGGTTTTTGTTTACTGTCCTTTTAGTTTTTAGTCTTTTACTAGTTATTTATTTATTTATTTTAAAGTAATTGAATTAAGGAAGTTGGGCAAAAAATAGTCAAAGTGGGCTAAATTATTAAACATGAATTTATAAATAGATTTAATATGTTATATGTGTTTTAATTTGCAAAATATCCCGAATTTGGCATGGATTCGAATCGGACTTGGACTTGGATCCGGATTCGTGTCGGACTCGGACTTGGATCCGGATTCGTGTCGGACTCGGACTTGGATCCGAATTCGTGTCGGACTCGGACTTGGACTCGGGTCGGACTCGGACGAACTCTGCACAGGGTCCAAGTCCAATCTGCTTTTTATTCGGATTCAGACTTATTTTGTCGAATTCGGATTCGGACTCAAATTAAACGGATTCAGATCGGATTTTTTTTCTTAGGATCGGATCGGATTCGAATCCGAATCGAACTCAGATTGAATTTTCATCCCTAGTTGTGTTGTTACGCTCTCTTTTTCTCTCCTAATAGAGTGGATACCGACACTATTGCTTGCTAATTTAACTTGGAAACTCAGGAGATCAACAAACAATTTGTGAGGGTGGACCTTCCTTCTCTAACACGACCCATGGTTGTGGACCAAATTTATTGTAGCACTATTCAGCAAATTAACGACGTTAACACACACACATTGGATGGATTCTCTTAACACCTTAACTTTCATTGTGGGAAACGTGGGTGACCGAGCATGTGAAGCGCCATAAATATGAGTTGGTGCTTGTGCATTGTTCTTTATAATTACAATTCCACCATTTGATTAACATGTTCTGTGGGGGGACCCTCAATGATTTGAATCCCTAACTCATACTCACCCTAAGTTTCTAGGCACTCATGGGGCGTTTGTTTAGGGGGATAAAAAGGGAGGGATAAGGATAAAGGATAAGGATAGAAGAAAAGTAGTACTCTCTCCGTTTCATAATGTTAGTCCCATATACTATTGTGGGCGTTTCAAAAAGATAGCTCCAATTAATCTGAACTTTGTCTCGTACGTCCAAATTAATCCCTACTTTGGATTATTCCCCATCACTCCCAACTTTAGAGGGTATTAATTTTTATTGCACCCAAATGACTTGCAACCGGTCAATCACGTAAACATTTGTGAATTAGTTTTTTTTTTTTTTTTTTGCACACGTGTCAACATGTAATTGCACTAGTAGAAAATACGAAATGGCAAGCGGTTCAAACCCCCCTAATGGGAAGCGGTTCTGAACCGCATGCCTTTAGGGGGCTTGCCAATTGGTCTTTAAAATGGCAAACGGTTCAGAACCGCTTTCCAATTATAGTGAAGGGGCAGCGGTTTTGGCGCCAAACCGCTGCCCATTAGGGGTATTAAATTTTTATTTTTTTTTTGGTTTTTTTCAATTAAATTGATATATAATCAAACCATATGTAAAAACATTAATATTTTTTTTTAGGGCATAAAAACATTAATATTTTTATTAATTAAAATATAATATTACAATTTCTGATTTTCAATCACAAAAAAAAAAAAAAATTAACAAAAAAATTAATAATAATAATTACAATTTTTGGTTTTCAATCACCAAACACCACCAGCCACCACCCCACACCAACAGCCACCACCACACACCACCAGCCACCAGTCACCAGTCACCACCCTACACCACCAACCAACAGCCACCAGCCACCACCCCACACCACCAGCACCACGACCCCCCACCCAAACCACGACCCCCACCCACCAAAAAAACCCCTCACCGAAACCACAACCCCCAGCCACCAATCCACCACGACCCCCACCCAAAACCATATCCCCACCCACCAAAAAACCCCTCACCGAAACCACGACCCCACCCACCAAACCAGATTCCCACCCAAACAACGACCTCCACCCACGACCCTAACCCAAACCATGCACGACCCCCACCCACTAAAACCAGACCCCCACCCACCACGACCTTCCACCAAAAATCAAATTAAAATAAAAAATAAAACTAAAATCGAGATAAAAATAAAAAAACCATCGATCTAACCCACCACGACCATCTAACCCACCGATTTTGGCTTTAAATTATGGTTTTAAAGGTCAAATTCGACCATAAAAACGCTAGATCTAGAGTTTTTATGGTCGAATTTGACCTAAAAAACTTATACACACACACGCATGCACGAATTTGCTTGAAATTGTTCGAAATTTGGTTGAAATTATCCTCAAAATTTGCTCGAAATTACCCATTTATGTTCGAATTTGATGAGATGAGAAAGAACAAAGAAAAAGAGAAAATGAAAGAAGAAAGGGGCGAATCAGAGGGAAGAGGATAGAGAGGGAAAACGGGAGTAGAAAGAGGAGAGAGAGAGAGAGCAGCCGAAATGAAAGAGGAGAGAGAGAGAGCTGAGCAAAGAAAGAGGAGAGAGAGAAATAAAAGAAGGAGGGTGCGCGGGTTTAGGGGAAAAAAATAGAGGAAAAAAACATAATAAAAAAAAAACCCCAATAGCCCTCCCTTCCCCCACCGCCACCTCCCGTTAGCTTCTCTCAACCCAACCTCGACGCCAGAACCCCCACCTCGACGTTGGAACCCCTGGCCCACCTCGACGCCGAAACCACCCCCAGAAACGCCCGAAAACGACCACCGGAAATGCACCCCCATGTCTCCCTGAAAACGGCCACAGAAATGACCGAATTTCGGGCTGAATGGTTGGTGTTAACCCTAAATCGGCCGTTTTCAGCCAATTTCGTGGCCTCCTTGCTCGGGATTTGGGGAACTATGGTGGGAGAAGGGAAGGGGTGGAGGACGGGTTTTCAGGGGTGGAGGACGGGTTTTCGGAGGTGGGGGAAGGGAAGGGGTGGCTAGACGGCTGTTTCCGGCAGCGAGGGAAGGGTTTTCGGGGATGTGGCCGATTTTCCGACAGGATGGGGGTGGGGTTTTGGTGTTTTCCGGGCTGGGCATGGGTGGTTTGTGGGTTTTTGTTTTTATTTTATTTTATTTTTTTATAGCCAATTATAGGCTGACAGGTGTTTAGGTAACTTGCTACATTAGGTTGGATGACCTGTTAGGTGCAATAGAAATTAATACCCCCTAAAATTGGGAGTGATAAATAATAATCGAAATTATGGATTAATTTGGGCGGACGAGGCAAAGTTCAGATTACTCTAAGTAAGAAAATCTTTACCTTAAATTATGCAATTATAACTTGTATTTTCCTAATAAAAAATTTTAAAAGTTAAATAAGGTAAACTAATTATGAATTATGTTATACTCTAATGTTAGATTCAAAATATATTTCTTTTCTTATTTTATGTGATTGATTCTATATGGGACTAACATTATGAAACAGAGGGATTAATTGTTTAGATGGATGGGGATTAAAAGAGAGTTGAGGATAGAGATTAAAACACCCCTTTATTCCTCCATTTCTATAACTAAAGGGGTGTTATAAGGGGAAGAGATAAGAAATAGGTTAAAAATACCAAATTACCCTTAATTAAGTTGAAAGTATACGGGAAAGAGTAGAAGTTAATAAATGTATTTTTATAATTTTACTACTTATCCCTAATTTATTTCCCATACTTATCAAACATGGGATAAGAATCCTTTATCCTTATCCCACCTATCCATTCAACAACAACAATAATAATAATAATAATATTAACAATAATAATAATAATAATAATAATAAAAATCAATAAGTAATAAATAATAATAATAATAATAATAATAATAATAATAAACATCAATAAATAATAATAATAAAAATAATAATAATAACAATAATAATTGAAATACTAATACTAATAATAATAATCAATAAATAATAATTATAATAATAATCAATAAATAATAATAATAATAATAATCAATAAATAATAATAATAATAATCATCAATAATTAATAATAATAATAATAAAATTATTATTATTATGTACATTTGTATATACACATATGCATAGTAATAAATAATCAATAAATAATCAAAAATCACTAATCCGTAGTTAAAAATCACTAGTTAATAAGTTCAGTTCAGTTCAGCTGAGTTCAATTCAGTTTAGTTCAGTTCAGCTGAGTTCAGTTCAGTCGGAACAGACCCTTATCCCTCTTATTCATATGCCTCCAACCAAATGCCCCGTCAGGAGTCAAGACTTAAGTGTCAAGAACTCAAGGATATGGCTCAACTTCAAATCAAGAAGTTGGGGCAAATGGTCCATGTTGAAAAATTATTTTCATTATCAAGGCCACATTTTAACACTTTCTCTAGGTATCCCTCACACTCCCACACAACAATGGCCGACGACCCCACTACAACGCCCTCCGCCGCAACCGCCGAACCCACAGACTTAGCTCCACCGCAACCACTCTCGAAGAGCGCCCAGAAAAAGTTAATAAAGCAACAAAGATACGAGGCGAAGAAGGCGGAGAAGAAAGCTGAAGCAAAAGAACACAAGAAGAGAGAGAAAGAGAGGAAACGGAAAGAATGGGATGAGAAGCTCGCAAACATGTCTTCTGAAGAAGAGAAATTGAAATTGATTGAGTCAAGAAAAGGGGTTCGAAAGGAGAGAATGGAGCAGCGGTCTGAGGAGAGAGAAAAGAAGTTGGAGCGTCTTTCTTGGGCTAAACTTCATGGTCAGAATATTGTTATTGATCTTGAGTTTTCTCATCTTATGACGCCTAATGAACTCAATAGCCTTGTTCAACAGGTCTCATTTTCCTTTCTTTTTCTTGGAATTTTATCTGGGTGTCTTTTGAATTTTTATGTTATTATGCTGAATTTTATGAATTTTATTGGGTTTCATCTGAATTTCATTTCTGGGTTGATATGAATTGTAGTTGTTCGAGTATTAGGGCAATTTTTATTATACAATCAGGTGTATCATACAGGCTAGAGCTTTTTTTTTTTTTTGCTGATTTGCTTAGATGAGTGAGGTTTTACTGTGTGTATGGTACAATCGGATGTATAATGGACATTCTAGACTATGGGGTTTCTGATGCTGGTGCTTATAAGATCAATGTGTGCTTTAGATTTCTAAATTTATATAACAACAACCATTTTGAAAGAGGAAATAATAGGGGAATTTTAGGTTTCAGTAGGCAGACATCACTACCCCATATCAACAACCATTTTGAAAATTGGAAATGATGGTAGAAAATGATTACTGTTGCTGCCAATATCCGCATGTCGCATATGTCTCCTTTTGAAGTTTTAACCTCTTGTACGAACGCTGAAACAGATGTGTCTGCGTTTGTAGATAGTCATGTGAAGCTGTCGCCCAGCTTTTGTATGGTCACAAAGTAGTATAGGATCACATTTTGTTCAATGTTGTGTACTTATCTCATGAGCTACTGTGCTGTTCTATCTTCACTTTCACCAGTATTGAGTGCATGATGAAAAATGGTGTTATGTTTCATAGGAACCCTGAACTCTAAGTGACATTGAAAACTTTGCTGTATGCTAAATGACATTGAAAACATTGCAAGTTTGCTTGGATTTTCACATTTGTGATTTTGTTGAATTAAGCTTCCTTTTTCTGAACTCTATCAATAAATTAATGCCAACTACAGATAATGTATTGCTATGCAGTTAATAATAGGTGCACTTCCCCTGGTCATCTGTGGCTGACTGGATGCGAGGGCAATATGGGAATTCATTTGAATAGAATTCCAGGATTTGATAAGTGGCTCATTGAGAAAGAGAAACAGTCTTATATTGAAGCTTTGCAAGATCAGAAAGAGAATCTGGTTTATTTAACTGCTGATGCAGAAACCATTTTGGATGATCTAGACCCCAAGAAAATTTATATCATTGGTGGTTTGGTAGATCGTAACCGGTGGAAAGGACTAACTATGAAGAAAGCCGAAGAGCAAGGCATTCAAGCAGCAAAGCTTCCTATGGGGAATTACCTGAAAATGTCCACTTCACAGGTCAGTATTATTGTAGTTTGACCCCTCTCGTTGCATCAGCTTGTTTCTTTTGTTAGCTGTAACTAGCTGACCAGTTGTTTTTCTGTCAAATATGTTATTCCTTTTTGTCTACTTTGTTTGTTGGTGATTTGGAGTATAAATCTACATTTGGATAGTCTGATGTGATCACATGTCCAATAGGCTTTAAGCTTCTCATTCATAGTTCACTTCGCATATTAGTAGTCTCTCATAATTGAATCATTTAAGCTTGTTATTCTAATTGGTGTTATATTTCAAGTTTAATTTGGGCTGAAAGTTCCTTAAAAAGCAGAAACATGCAAAGTATATTATTCTATTCCAGTTTGATGCTGACTTCCTCAAAAGAAATACTAGTATAATATAACAATGTTTCTAGATTTGGGCAAAAATGTCTGATTTCTATGGGAACTGTAGAACAATAACGTCCTGAAACCTGTTATATACTTATATGTCTCATCTTAATGAATTTTGGAAGGTTGAGTTGTGTGCGGACTTGACCCAAACATGTGTACATGTCATAGACGATTTTCCTTTTCAAACTCAAAAAGAAAAGTAATAAGGGTTTGTTTTTTTTTTTTTTCCTCCCTAAATATTATGTTGCGAAAAGAGAAAGCATTGAAACTTCTGTTAGTCAATCTTCAGCAATAGTAAAAGTAGCTGAGTTTAGCACCATCCTTTACCTAGAAACTTTTGTTAAAAGACATTTGGATGAGCATAGGAAATTCTCTTGCTTGGGGTCAGCTACATGAATTTTTACTCACTACTGCATTCTTCTAAGTGTCATATACTTTTTGAGCTGTGAAGTAGTGAGGTCCTACCTTAAGACCTTGTCCCTGCTCTTCTTTGGTCTACTTCTCCTTTTGCTATCCTTTGAAAAAATAGTTTATCTATTTCTTCTTTTGCTGAAGTCATCTAAGATCATTAATTATGAACAATATGCCAAACCTCGCTGCTAGTCATTACATATTCCAGCTAATCAGTATTCTTCACTGTCGTACATGTTGAATAATAGAGTATTAGTAAGTATATATCACTGCCAGCATGATGGACGGTGGTTATAATGCTGCCATTTAAACCCAGAGAAGACAGTGGCTTTAGTGCACCCATTTGAACCTAGAGAAGATGGTAGCTATAGGGCACCCAATTAAACCCAGAGAAGTATGTGGTGAGTGGTGACAAAATGGTGAAAAAATATGTAGGCTGCTAAAAGTACTGGCACATCTTAATATGCATGATTATGCCATAATGTAGAAGCAAGGAAACCAAAAGACACATGCTGAGACCATGTGCTGGTGCAGTAGCAAGATGGAGAAGTATCTTAACTTAGTAGTAGTCATGAGTAAACTAGCCAAACTTCCTATTATTAGGAATCTTAAAGATATTTTAGGCCTAAACACAAATGTTATTTAGATTAATATACTTGTGCGGAAGAAGATTGTTGCTATGTTCATTAGTCTAGGAGGTCCTTATGATGGCTTGTTTGGTAGGTAGTTATGAATGGTGGTAATGAGAATGAATTTGTACATTAAGTGTAAGAGAAATCATTTTTCATTCCTGAGGTAATGATACTTCAACCTCGATTATCAATTTTTCTTCACAAATTTTCATTACCTTCCATTACCACTGGGGGGGGGGAATATTGGATGGAATGGACACTTATGAAGAAAAACAGAAGTTGGGGAGTGAGATTGCAAAACTATGGACACTATGATGTAATTTACTTGCCTAATTATACTTAAATTCATTCCATTATCGCCATTTTATAATTGGTTACCACAGGGCACAGGCCACCAAATTGACCTGATTGTGGTGATAAAAATCATCATTAAGAACCTGATTGTGCACTTAAACAGGACTCCATGTCTGTTTTAAACTGGTGAATGGCATTCGATTGTGGTGATTGCATCTCCTAGTTGTGAGGATCGAAAAGGGGTCACTACGACACCCACAATGGCACAATGTCACAATGTCACACACAAGACAATAAACCAAGAATTCAATCTTATCCACCCAAATTATCACACAACCAAATCACCACATAAAAAAAGGCAATAATGCAGCAGCAAGCCATAACAGGAAGAACAAAATAGCAAACAACACACACGAATTATACGTGGAAAACCCCTTCGATGTGAAGGATAGTAACTACTGGACCGTTTGAGAAATCCACTTCTCCTATTGATAATTGAGGGTAAAATAAACCCAAATCAGCCATCTATAGATATGATTGCTTTTGTGTATGCTTTCTTTAGCTTAGTTCTTTTCTAAACGCTACTGTTCTTTAATTTTGAACCTGGCTTTCTGCCAAGAAAAAGTTTTTTAAGTCTTAGGCCTCTTTGCATTATTTAAGACCTATTAACTATTCCATTAGTATGGGGAAATTGTTTGCTTTATTCACAATGGCCTTAGCTTACAAATTAAGTGCAAATACAAAATTTGGACCCACTTTGCAGTATATCACTCTCACATTCTATACTGCCATTACTATTCATCAAGTATACAACTCAACCAAATCTATCTTGTGTCCTAAACCCCCTTTTTTCAAATTAATATTTAGATTTTTTATGAAAATAATAAGGGTAATAATTATAATTTTATTCAAAGATTAATCTCACTTAATTAGAGAGAGAGAGAGAGAGAGAGAGAGAGAGAGAGAGAGAGAGAGAGAGAGAGATGAGGGATTACCCCAATGGAAAATAGTTACTTTAATTTAGTGAGATTAATCTTTGTATAGTAAAAACAAAAGAGGGGTTACTCGAATGAACAAATGAGGTTAATCATATTAATAACAAAGGGTTACTCTTATAAGCAAACGTGCTCACATCATGTGCACATATAAGACTTGTTGATTATTGAATACACTAAATTGTATATACAAGACTCTTATAAACAAATTGCTCCTTTTAAATAGAATAAATAGAAAATAACTTGGCATTACTTGCACCGATTGACTCATGTTTTTCTCATAACTTTCCAAATTTATGCCATTTCATTTTAGAAATTACTTTTAGTGCTTTAAGGGATGTATGTAGCAGTAGTGCATTACCCTACAAAATTAGGATTTGATGACCAATTTATATTAAATGAATTCCAATTTATTTAACCATTTATAAATAATAAGATCTAAGCATGACACATGCTTTAGCTAGTTTCTATAATAGGCTATACAAGTGACTTGATCTAAAAGTGAGCCAAGCTTGAACTTTGAATGTCTGTCCTTGTATCAAACGTCAGATGACAACACTAGAATTAATGTTCTCATCTATAACCTTGTGTTTGGATAATGAAAAAGGAAGGAAAAGAAGGGGAGGGAGGGAAAGGGGAGGGAAGAATGACGAGTTTTCCTTCCAAACCTCTATTGTTAGAGAGATCAGTTTCTTACAATTTAATCTCTCCATTTCTTTCTCCTCCAATTCCTTTTCTTATTTGTTATCCAAATGAAAGATGTTCCTCCCCTTTATTTACCTTTCCTTTCTTTCTCTCCATTTCCCTTTCCTTTCTTTCTCTCAATTTTCCTTTCCGTCCTTTCTCTTTATTTCCTTCAATCCAATCCAAACAAAGGGTAAAACTAATAAGTATCATTTAAGAATTTGGACTCCTCCATTTTTCTGAAATTCATAAAATGTGATTCATATAGAATGTTAGTTATTATCAGTGAGATTTATGCAGAAACTTTGTAAAGTAAATGTCTAAACTAACTTGCCATTGCAGAATGTCTCGGAAACTTTTATCTTCTTATCTTGATGTTGAATAAAATCTCAGGCTAGTTAATGCTCGAGTCATATTTGGGTTTTAAAACCGCTATATGGTTGAAAAAATTGGAATATAAATTGGTCATCAATTGCTATATATTCTAGGGTAATGCTATATGCAATCCTTGAAGCACTAAAAAGTGGTATGAATTGGAGAATTTATGATAAAATTACGCGTAAATCGGTGTAATTATTTCCAAGTTAATCTTAAATTTTCTTGTTATTGCGTTTTCGTTGTTTAAATATCTAGCTTAAGTAAAATTATGTAGTACGCAATCACTTGGAGAAAAAAAAAGTAAAAAAAATTATACTATGGTCATGCTTAAAATGACCATTACTATTCTTAAATCCTATTGGTTGATTTTTTTTGTTTATTTTAAATGCTGGCTAATCTTTTTTTTATTTTTTATTTTTGATTTTCTATTTTTTTCTTTTTTTAATTTCTGATTTTTCGATTATTTTTTATTTTCATAATTATATTATTAATTATCACTTTTTTTTAAAAAAAAAATCCATAAATAAGATTAAATTAAAAATATTAAAATCAAAAAATTGTTCTTCAATGTTTTAAGGTTCTTCATCCATGGATGAAATTAACCACCAATCCATGATCTTTGTCCCTTAAATTCATTCACGCATCGACGGAGAATGAACACGTTTCCCGATTTATAAATCTTAAATTTTCACTTTTTTCAATAATCTGGGTTCGTGGAGCAAATCTTAGAAGAAACTGTAAAATATTCTTCAAAACTTTGTTTGATCCAAAAAAACCAAAGACGAAATTTTAAATTTGGTTTTTGTATTAGGATTCACCAATATGCTTACAGGACCTATAATAAACAGTTTTATTGTTTATTCGTCTACGACCGTAAAGAGTTTTGTAATAATAAAAAAAAACCCGAAATATTTGGCGGCGTCGTGGGAAGAGTACCTCTAAGATGGTGTCTCAAGAGACTGTTTCGCCTCCGGTTGAGGTCCATTCGGGCCATGACACATATTCTGTTCCATAGGTCGAAGTGTATATGGCTGAAGATGGATCTCTTAAAACCAGAGCAATTTTCATTAGATTATCAATGCAAATTCAATTTAACTATTAATAGCTCATTTGAATGAAGACTTTAACATGTTTATTATCAACAAAAGGTTATGACCGTATACATTTTAGGTCATTACATTATAAAACGATATATGCCAAGCTTATGTCATTAAGTATTTATTTGAAAATGTGATTCTATTAATTAAATATTAACGAACAACAACCTATGAATTATTTATTTAATATGGCACTAGCATGATTTTATGAATTAAAAAAAAAACTATAATATTATTTTCCACTAAAAAAAAATAGCTAAGCAATAATTATATATGGTTAACTTAACAATTGAGGTCTAAATTTCGTTTAATATTTGACAAAAGATTGTCATGCCAACTTATGTTACAAATCTTATAATATGTCAATTTAAAAGATCACGCCTTTAATAAATCGAGTTATTATAGTTAATTACTTATCATCATAAATTGTATTCTATATATTTATACTATCAAAGTGGTAGAATATAATATTTAGGGATCCTAAATTAGGTTCATATTAGAGGGATATCAATTAATATGGTTCCAAAAAATAAATATTAAATATAAATTTTAAAATATAACTTTCAAACAATAAATAATACATTACAATTATTACCGAATCTATGTATTATTTAATCCCAAAACTATTAAGTTTAATTTAAGTGTTTGACCACCAAATTTGTTTGTTAAATTAATTAAAAAAATAATTTAGATTATCCCATTACAAATAAATGCATGTTATAATAACAAAAAAGAATTACATTAAATGAAAACACATGTGAGTATGTGACATGATTACAGCAAGTGAAGGGAGCTACTTAAAGGTATGCACGTATGCTTGCTACCACATGGAAAAAAGAAAGAAAAGAGGAAGACCGTTTTGGGATTAAACTTAGAACTTTTAGAATTAAATTATGTATGGATCCTATATTAATTGTAATGTATTATTTATTTTTTGAAAGTTAAAATTTAAAATTTATATTTACATTTTTTTGTTTTTGGAATCATACTGATTGATATCCTTTTTATATAAACCTAATTTAGGGTTACTAAATATTCCATTCTACCACTTTATTAGGATGGTATCAATAATATACTGAATGCAATTTATGATGAGAAGGAATTAACAATAATAACTCGATTTATTAAAGGCATGATTTTTTAAATTGACATATTTTAAGATTTATCACATAAGATTCGTTAAAAGGCATTTACACTTCAATTGTTAAGTTAACCATATATGTAATTGTTGATTAGCTTTTTTTTTTTTTTTTTTTTTTTTTTTTGGGAAAACAATATTATAGTTTTATTTTTTTGATTTGCATAAAATCACGCTAATGCTAGATTAAATTAAATATACATAGGTCATTTTTCGTTGATATTTAATGTTTTCAATCACATTTCTAAATAAGTACTTCATGACATAAGCTTGACATATATCGTTTTATAATGTAATGACCTATAATGTATACACAATTTGCATTGATGATCAAATGAAAAATGTTTGATGATAACATAAAAATAATTACAAAAGTCATAATCATAACATTTAATATGATTACAAAACTCTTTATGGTCGTAGAAGAATAAACAATAAAACTGTTTAGGTAATGTCCTATTAGCATATTAGTGAATACCTAATTTTAAAAAATAAAATAAAAAGAAAAATAAAAATAAAAACAAGATTTTAAATTCCATCTTTGTTTTTTTCGATCAAACAAGGTTTTAAAAAAAAACTATGTTACGATTTCTTCTTTAATTTGCTTAACGAACCCAGATTAGCAAAAAAAATTTAATTTAGATTACATAAAATTGCAGATTTTGCATCCCTTGGTTAAGATTGTCCAATTAAAATCTATTATTTTAGGATTAAAAACCAACCCAAATTCCCAAGAACCCATATTTTAGAAACCTTAAATTTCTTATATCAATGTAGATCAGGGCATATCTTTAATCTTAGATGATGCGCAAGTTCATATCAAGACAAAAATCATGAATTAGTGGTTAATTTCATCTATGGATGAAGAATATTGAAGAACCATTAAAAAATTAATCTTATGTTTGGATTTTATTAAAAACTGATTTTAATAAAATAATCTTGAAAATAGGAAAAGATTTTCAAATAATAAAAAATTATTTTCCAGAAAATAGAATTGATTTTTAAAATGAAAAAAAAAATTAAAAAGGAGGTTTGACCAAGCAGTTTTTTATTTTTTATTTTATAAAGAAAGAAAAATCAACCAATAGGATTTAAGAATAGTGATGGTCATAATAAGGATGACCATAAGTAGAAACATCCAAGAAAAAATAAAATTTACTGCATTCAATTATTTAGGTTAGTATATAGAGAAAAAAGTAGTCCATAGGATGTACACTATGTTTGGTCGTTTGGATAACAATAATGAAGGGTACAGGAGGGGAAGGAAAAAGAGGAAAGGGAAAGGGAGGTGAGGGGAGGGAGAAGAAAACCTTCCATTTTCCTTCCAAATCTCTCCAACAATGGAGGGATTCGATTTATTAAAAGTGGTAGGAAAATGGATCCTAACAATTCCCTCCCCTCCCCTCCTTGCATTAGATATCCAAACAAGGGAGGATGCATCCCTTCATTTCTCTCTTCTTCCTTTCCCTCCATTTCTCTCTATCCAAACATAGCGGTAGTTTGCTTTTAAAATATATATAATTGATCCATTATTTCTAAAATATACTCTATTTCAATATATAATAGGAAAAATTGAAATAAATAACCCAAACTTCATCTTTCCAAAATAATCCCACCTTTAATTTATTTTAAAACAATCCCACCTTTGACATGGATTATCTATTAATGGTCTTTTTGATCTACAACTATTTTAATCAAATTCACTACCCTAAAAACCTTTTACCACCTACAACCCGACCCATTGTTGCTAGCCCCACCTTTGCTACTACCCTCACCTATTGCCGCATGAGATGCAACCTAGCCCCGCATCATGCCGCCCTGAAACCCTTTGAAACCCAGCCCCACCTTGAAACCCCAAGGGATGGCAATTTTGGGTTAGCTGTCGAGTTCGGGTTATATTTTGGGTTGTGCTTAGAAACTATCAAGAATAGTGTAACACTTAATATTATTATCAAATTCTGGTTAAATTGGGTCAAATTCGGGTTGTTTGGGTTCGGTTCGAGTTGGATCTGGGTTTCTCTTAGTAACTTTGGGTCGAGTTTGGGTCGGGTTATCGGACAGGTCAGCCTACCCCCAACCACACCAAAACCCCACTTCGGAGTCCTTACTAGTCACCACCGAAAACCCCACCCTCATCCTTAACCCTAAAACCCGCAGTGACGTCAGTAACCCTACCCCACCTCAAAAACCCCTCCCCTGAAGAAGTGACATAGACACACCACCCCGGGGAAGGGGAAGACGGAGACATGGGTTAGGTTGTCGAGGAAGGCGGGGGCGAAGATGGGGATGGGGAGGGGAAGGGGGTGGTCGTCCATCGGGGAAGCGCAGGGGTGGGGAAGGGTTGTGGTTTTTTTTAATTATTTTTGTTTTTTAATTATTCAAAAAGAAAATAGACCTGTTAGAAGTCAACACGTGGCAAACAACCTAAGAAAATTGGTTACCTGACAAGGATCGTTAAAAGATCTTTGCGAACTACGTAAATTATGTTACTCTGACACCCTGCTGCTGTGTCTGCAGACGGATCCTACGACACAGCACCCAAATATATTGTGGCCTTATATGAAATATTATAAAAACTAGAGTGTTGCAGGGATCCGACACCATGTCAGACTCAACACCCAATCCAAGTCTATGCAACATAGATTGTTAAAGGTGGGATTGTTTTGAAATATATTGAAGGTGAGATTGTTTTGGAATAAATTGAAGGTGGGATTGTTTTGGGAGGTGGGATTATTTGTTTCCATTTTTCCTATATAGTGTTGAACATCTCTATTTTGGATATTTGTGGAGAAACTTTATTTTGGAACTCCTCGGGATAAATTACTTTTTATTAATGAAATTTGTGGAGAAACTTTTTTTTCTGAATTTCATAAATTACTTGTTATTAATGAAATTTATGGAGAAACTGACTCTCGGGATAAAGTCTGACGTTATCTAACAGACATGCCCACTGAGGACTTGCAATTAGATATCAGGGCAATGAAAGCTTTGTAAAGTAATAAAAGTCCTAACTTGCAACTGTAGAATTTCCTGGGTACTCTTATCAACTTATCTTGGTGTTGAATAAACTCCCAAGCTACTGGAATATAAGCTTTCCTGAAGTTAATATACATCAATCATTTAGGGGAACTGGGGAACTAACTTTATTTCTGTACTCGCTGAATGTGAACGATATTGGTGCCTCTTGATTGATATGATAGCCATTATGTGGTAACACTTGTATATTTGAAATGTATGCCTAGAGATCTTCATTTCAAACAGAATTGGATCGCAGTTTACTAATTAACCCATGTGCAACCACATAGGAACAAGAATCAATGATATAGGGACTTAGTGAATACTTTCTTCTCTAATGAAAAGGTAAATAATTTTCTGTCTATACTCTAATTGTTACAAAATTGAGGTTTTTTGTACGTATAGGTTCTCACTGTTAACCAAGTGGTGGAGATACTTCTCAAGTACTTAGAGGTGAAAGATTGGAAGGCTGCTTTCTTTCAGGTGATTCCTCAGCGGAAACGATGTGACACAGACTCGGGTGATCATGATAAAGAATTAGAAGAGGATGGGAAGTTAGAGAATGACAGTTGTGCAGAGAACCAAAAGAAAATGAAATTATCTGAAACAGATTCTGAGGGAAGTGAAAGAGCAGTGGAAAATGGTGAAAATGTGAAGGATATTGTATCCAAATTGAGGGAAGATGCAGATTCAGAGGCAAGTAAAAGGGAGATAGAAGTTGATAAAAGTGAGAAGGATAATACGTCCTTACAGAAGGAAGATGTCTGATGAATACAGAGTAACAATATGCTTACTTCTCGTTTTTCTTTGATGTATTTCATTTAACCTTTTCGCCCCTTCAAGGGGAAATCAGTTTTGGATTAATCTAATTTTCCTCAACCCTGACTAATTTTGATTTGCGAGTTCCTTATTTTTATTTACTAGAATGCCTTGGCGTTTGTGTGGTTTTACCTCTTTCAAATTAGATGTGGCATCCATTGGGAATCAACCCCACTCCCGAACTGGGTGTCACGAACCAGCTCATTGCCAGCAGAAAACTCCCAAGCGCTAACAAGAACGCCTCCATCCGAATTTGATGATGAGATTCGTTGGTAAACCAGGATTTTACTGGCTAGTGCTATTGTCTCATTGGCAGATTACTGAAATTCTGAACACAGTTTTGAACTGTTGATAGACAATAACCTTGGTTTTCATTGCTTGTAAAACAAGTTGTACACTGTACGTAATTAGTATAATAGGACTAAATTAATTAGTAGTTGATTATGATTTACGAGTGCATAGCTGATTATGGATTTAGAAGTTTGGCAACCAAATGTTTTCATTTCCTTAGTATTGAGCGATAGGGTGCCTGCCTGCAGTTAAGAATTGATCTCCTCCAAAACGAGAAAGTCAAAAAGAAAGTTTGTGTGTATGCCAGCGTTACGGCTTAGCCAACCACTGCTTAGGTTGCTTTTACAGCAGAACTCTCCTCATGGCAGAGAGAGGCGAGGAGTTGGGAGTGGAGCCCTCTTGAAGACTTGTTCACCCGAGGCAGTACATTGCCCGAGCCTTACTTAAACTTAAAAGGCCGCTGCACAAGTAAGGCTTGCATGTTAAAGATAGAACCGGGCGATCCCCGACAGGGGCCTGCCAGCTCAGGAAGCCAAACGCCCAATACCGGTAGAAGGGTCTTGGCTCTTCAGAGTATTTTTAAAGATGGCATTAAATTACTTAATCAGATTTTATATTTATAACCTTCTTTGCCATGTAGTTTGACTGTAACGGTATTATAGTTTTTTAGATATTGAGCCATTGCCTGTTCCATCTATGGTTTGGTTCTTGTGAGATTTTCTTAGACCTATGTAAGGCTTTGGACCTTTGGTTGATTACCATTAACAGAAAGGCCTTTGAATTGACATTTGATGATATGTTAGGTTGTAGTTTTGAGAAAAGATTAACCTAATATTTAATAAATCTTTTTTATTTTTTTCAAATTTTTTTTTTTAAAAAAATCAAATGAACAAAACAAGAATAAAAGTTCGGAAGTGATTTGTTATGGACTTATGGAGATTCTCCATCATAGGTTTAGGGCCATCAATCACTTCCCTTTTTCCCTCGAGGAATTTTTAGTCCATAACACAACAAATTTATTGACACTCACGAAATTTTTGACTTTGTTTGCAGTTCGCTCTATTTTTTTAATTAGTGCTCCATTTTGACTTTATTGTTTTATCTCTCTCTTTAACTGACAAATTGTGATTTCTTCGCCAAAAAGAGGCAATTCGTATAATACAATGGAATATTGAAGTGGTTAGCATCACTTGTAACTGAAATTTTTTTGCACAAATTCAATGAATATCTATCAATATGCTAGACAATTTCGCTCAAAATTGCTGAGTGTTTGTCAAAAATGCCCTTATTATGACTGGTAAAAACTCTTTATCCTTCTTGTTCAAGAAATTGGAAGAAAATTAACAATTTTTCTCAGTCCATCTTGCCTAAAGTAAATTCTACGTTAAGGGCTCCAAATTCGTGTCATTGTACCAATTAAGAACATAGGAAGTAAACGTTATGACCCAAGAGGCCAAGACCTTTGCCTCCACGCCAAGAGTGACTTTCACCTTTCCTCATTTTCTCCATCCACCACCCAATCTACATCGTTTGCATATTGTTTGTATCAATCACTTCATATTCATCATTTACAGTAGTCCTTATCACAAACATGGCTGAATAGGAGAAGCTACTTTACAAATGAGTTGTAAAGAATGGAACCAACGATAACTATATACTACTTGACACGACAGTTTGCACGATTTTGCATATACTACTTGATACGGGAGTTAGCACAAATATAGTTGGAGACGACGTGACTTGATAAGACCTTTGATCATGTGCACCAAAAACAGATAAGACGCCAAAATTGTTTCTAATTAATCATACTAAAAACAATTAATTATAAGAATTTCATTATTAGTCTCTAACTATCCTTCAGAAAAGGTGAAATATTTCAGACATAATACAAAACATCATGGTGATATTATTGGAAGTAACGGATTTGATAAATTTAACAGACCACCAAATTCAATGTCCACTGAAGCATATGGGCTTGACATTGGATAGCTCCACTCTATCGAGTCTTTCTGTGAAAAAAAAATATATATATATATTTTTGAGTTGACACTACAAAATGAAATTATTACATTCCTGTTTATAACTGCAAGTCAACATTGAGCTCTTTTCTCTTTAACCAGTTTTGGATAAAAACTCGGTAACGAAATTTGTAACCAAAAACCAAAAGGGGTGTGAACTGAGTAAACACAGTTCAAACTTTAGCAACTTCTTAGGGATGTAGGACCAGTCAGGCTATCACTACTCTATGACATATGATACGAATATCAATTTCACTTGACATCAAGTCTTATCTCTTACCATCAGCACTAAGATACACGTCCATCTTGTATAGACCAGCTTCTCCTACATCTGATACCTCTACAGAAAAATAGTCATCATACCAAATAGTGCAACAGTTTGTGGCTTCTAAAGATTAGTGCATTATCATTGTGGACGCAATTTGACATACTGATCGGCAGCTTTGGATAACGACTGTATTGATATAGAAAACCCTGGACCCATCTGTGCATGGGAGACACAAACCATCATGGTATAAGAAAAAAAATACAAGTACAAGCAACTTAGCAGCACCAATATATTAAATGGAATATACAATTGCATAAGCGCAAGTAGAGCATAATATCCCATCACTTCACAATAACAAAAGAAAACAAACATGTAGCTTTCTTTTTTAATTTTAAAGGCTGGTGTACTATCTCACAAGGCAAAAGTTTTATTTCCACTAATATAGCTTACTTCGTGCAGCTAAATTGGGTAGCGGATTGATGCATTCATCATGCAAATCCTCCTAAACCCATAGTAATGAATAAACGAGCAACAACCTACAAGCATCAATTAATCAAATTGAAGTTTAAAATTTGTGAAGAATAAGGCATTGGTGCACATCATGTAATCACTGTCCTAGGATTGCCTGAGCACATTCTGTTAGCAAGTTTCATAGTGAACCTAAAATCACCCCCTTACAATTCTTTATGGTTTCAACCTAGAGACTCTTTGATTTGTAATTGTAATCTGACTATTCTCCCACAACCAAGTTGTTCTGCTGCAAGTTGCAACTCATGTGGGTCTTTCTTGAGTTAATAAAGTGTGCTACATTTATTTGCCCACAACTCTCTACAATCTCATCCCAAAAGTTGTTTGGCCACTTAATTAGTAGATTTTAGGTATGAGGTATGGGTTTAGAATGGATAAACCCACACCTAATTTTTTTTTTTAGAAAAATTCTTTTTTTTATCTCATACCTCAAAGCCGCAGGGTATGGGGTTTAGAAACCCAAGGGAGAGGTGGGAATGACTGATACTATACCTTCAGGTATCAAATAAAAGGAAAAAAAAAAAAAAAAAAAAAAAAAAAAAAAAAAAAAACAATCATCCCCAAACAATAACCAGATATACACGGAGTAAGAAACAAGTTCCAACACCATACGTCCATACCAACCTGGTTTCATTCCTGATTCCAAATTCATACTACTCTTTGATCGAAACACCCCCTTAGGAAATTCTACAATCACTAAAATCAATACTCTATTTGTCCCTAAAAATAGTTCCCGTATTCCTTTTTAGGCGTCCCTAAATGATGTTCCCATTTCTTTTTTTACCATTTATAGATGCCACAAAAAGACCAAAATAACCTCACTTTACTTTGTCTTTATTACCTGAAGTAACCCAAATAGCCCTCATTTGCCTCTAAAACTTTGTGCCCCCACTCATATGCATGTACTTAATTTTTTTACATGCACTTACTATTGGTGGTCCACTCAATTTTTAGTACTTTTCTCTTTTTGTGGCACTTTATGTACTTGCTTATCCCTTTTCTTAATTCCTGTGAAACTTGGCATACAGGAACTGAATTTAGGGGCGGAGGGAGTAATTGGTTTCATGGAAACAAACAACCGTGATCAAACCATGAAGTCACCTCACATCCTCATCAGCTCAACCATTTTGACTATTTGTCTAGGTTTACAGATCCTTCAGCTTGGCACAAGTGCCATCAATAAACCAAACCAGTTCATAGAGCTAAGTGCAGTTTTTAGTTTCTTACACTTCTTATCCAATAGAAGATAGATTCCATTGAAAATAATGATGCCATAAGGCATGGCAGAAATATCACAAATGGCCACAAACAGTGGAACCAAGTAAGGATATTGGTTTTGAGAGCTGATATATCTTTCATCTATTTTTCTTTCTTGAGCTAGACATCTTGGTGTTCTGATTTTTGAAGCTTTGAGCTTAAAGGATTTGATTATTATCAAAATAATATCCTTCGACCACAATTTCAAAATGTTTTTTTATCACTGTTTATGATATTAATGTTCTGTTTTTTTTTTTTTTTTTTTTTTTTTGAATAGATATTTCACAAATATTTGGGTTTCTAACAAAAAGGCTAAAAGCCTAAAAGCTATAAATTGTCTTACTCTCTTATATATAAAAAGTCATTCTACCCTACTGTAATACCCTAGCTAAAAATACAAAAAGCATTGCATGGGAATAATCCTAGAATAAAGATCACATGATTTAATGTTTAGACACAAAAAATATGCCTAGGCAATCCTTGGACAATGATCACATGATGTAATGAGCACCAACGTTGCACGCACCTCAATGTGCAACGAAAAAGGTAGATTTGATTCACAATGAATAAGTAATAACTCAAAAACGCATCATCCTTAATTGTAGGTGACATAGGCATATAAGCTAAACCTAAAGTTGCTATAATTAGTCCACATGTCCAACAACTAGAATAAATACTGCTACAAGCATTAGGAAATGAGTTCATTCATCCCCTAGGAAATGTGTGAAACCGCAA